ATTCGGAAAGAATAAACCAGTTTTATTAAGTAAAGACTTGTGTCGTTAAAGTTTCGTTGGAACGAAGTTACGGAAAAATCAATTAACAAACGGAGACGTAACAATAGTTTTTATTCTGAAGCAATATATATTTTAAAAAGTTATCAATTTGCAGTAGATTTTAAAAACTATCACTTTGTTCAAAGAAACAAATTTATTGCTGGATGTAGTAATGTTCTTAATGCTACAGGCAACTTTAATTTTATTTGTAATCTATGTGAATCTATATGTCAAATTTAAGAAAATATTATATTTCAGAAAAAAACTATTGTGTTATTGTTTGGAATGTTAACACATTTTGTAGAAAACCAAGTTATTTACTAATATACCACTCAATAGCTCATGGGTAAAGCTTGAGTGCTTGTAACTCTAAAATTTGGAGCTCTGTTCGTACTGTGGCTATAGCGAATATTGCCTATTGCGCGGTTTTGCGTTAAAAAAAATATCAATAAAATGTGTTAAGTGAAGTATTGTACCTTTCGCCCCCTGTATTAATCTAATTGAGAAGGGTTAAAGGCTTTCTCCAAATCAAAGGTTGCAAATTTATTTGAGAATGGTAAAATAATTATATGTTTAATTAATATCATTTGAACTGGTATCGCAATTTATGAAATTAAATATTTCTAAAACGTCATTATTGTAGAAATTAAATTACAAATTGTTCTTTTTCATGATGTTTTGTAATTATTATATATTAATAATTCATTAATTGTAATAAGACTCGAGTAAGACTTATTTAGTTATTAATATTACTATTAGTACTGGGCAGTAGTACTAGTATTATAGTAAAAATAATAACATAACGCAATATATGTAGCTGTAAGCGAATTAAAAAAAAAGCAGTAAACTGGACTAACTGTCAGACGTCTAGGTATTGGAGAATCTAGTTTCAACACATTCACATGTTCTCTTCTGTCTTGCGTGGTTCTGAAGACCATAGTATTATTAATAGTAGTTTACTACTGTAACGTAATATTATGTTTTGGGACAACACAGGGCTTATTGGCTCATCTCAACTTAATAAATTAATTTAAAAATCTTAAAGCAAGCCCTTATTATTCATATAAGTATAAAGCTTTTTCTTCAGTTAAACTCACTTAAAT